TCCATACGTGTGTTTGTCGGTGGTAGCCAGATTAATATTATTTGATTGTGCAACTAACTATTTGAGAGTACTTCCATAGTCCATCCTATATCATCCAGAATTTAATTAATTTATCATTATGATTTCTATTTAACATCCAATATGTTTTTATCATCAGCTTAGTATAAACTAATTCCATGAGAATCTCCAAGTGTTAGGAATTACTATAAATTTTTCATAAAAAAATAGGCAACATACTGGAGTTTTTATTATGTCGTAATTCTTGAATGAGATTAATTTATTCTTTATTAAATTCAAATAACTTGATAAAACCTGAATTATATCCCCCTACTATAATTAAAGATTTCTTGTTGAATGAAAATGCATAAGCTTCTTAATTATTGAAAATTAGCTGTGTCTAATGCTTCCGTCAAATATGGCATTTTTATTCCAATAGCCTTAGTATTGATGGTTGTTATTCTTAAAAATTGATTATCTAAAATTAAGATTTTTTTATCCATTAACTTAATATTTCTTGTCTGACTTTGCGCTTGGATTCTAGCTCTTATTTGAATTATTGGTAATTTTGTTGATAAGTTCAATATGATTGCTTAAAGCATTTATTTTTATTCCAGCCATATCTGATTATTTACTTAAGAGATCAATTATTTCTAAATAGTCAGCATCATCATAAATCTTATTATTATCCATAGATTCAATTAAATTTAATAAATTTTAAAACCTTTAAATCAAATGAATAAAATTATTCAGAATTTTATTTAAAACAACAGTAGATAAGCATAATAATTTTGTTTTTTGAATAAGAAAATAATTTAGAGTTCAGTGGAAATGTAATGATCAAAGAAAATTAATATATTAGACTATACTGCCTTTCATGATAAACAGAAGAATTTCTTTAAAAAATATATCCTAAGTTAAAAAATAATTATGTTATTAATTAAATAATATCACAAATCCCTTTATTTTTGAATCATAATAAAATATTTAGAAATATATGGACTGGGCTATAACAAAAGCATTATCCATCATGAATTTGAAAATCTGGGTTTAGGGGTTGGGGTGAAATCTTTATAATAAAAGTAAAATTTCCCCATAAATTTGATTTATATTTTACAGACAATAATTATGATAGATTGTTCCTCCAGAAATGCAATTCAATGAAAAATAGGAATAACAGGAATAACAGAGATTGTGTTTTATTAGATTTTTACTAAATGATTTTGGGACTCAAATATATTGG